TTGCATCCAATCTGACTTTAAGATGACCCTCCAGCTCCATTTTATCTTTTAGGCCCGAAACGTCAGCCTTCCTGCTCCTACGATGCTGCTTGGCCTGCTGTGTTTATCCAGCTCTGCACCTTGTTGTCTCAGATTCTCCAGCATCTGCAGTTCCTACTACCCCTCACATGCTGGAAACAGTTGCTTTGCTATAATGTCTGTTCTGTAACTTGTGTTTCTCTGTTCTGTGTTGATTCAAGGGAACTAGTGGCTTCAAAGTAATGTTACTGGACTAATAATGCAATTGTATAGACTAATGCTCTGCGGACATTGGTTTCAAATCCTACCATAGCAGTTGGTGGAACTTAAGTTCATATTCAATAAGGAATAAATCTGGAATATAAAGCTAATCTCAGTAATGGTACTGTGAAACTACCATCAATTGTCAAAAAATCCATCTTGTTCACTAATGTCCTGTGGGGAAGGAAATCTGTCACCTTTCCTGGTTTGACCTACATGTGACTTCAGATCCACAGCAATATTACTGATTCCTGACTTCTCAGTGAAATGGCCTCGCAAGCCACTCAGTAAGGCTAAGTAAGGATGGTGCTGGCCTTGCCAGCGACACCCATAATCCATGAAAACATTTTATAAAAAGGGAATGAGCAATAAAAAGATCTCACTAATGCAGCGGTGGATGTTGTAGTGTGGAATTTTTCAAGACCTATTCTGGAGTTGTATAAAGTAGGAGAACTTAGAATGGGAAGTACTGAATAAAGATTGCACAAGCATTCCTCTTCCTGAGATGCAGAAAAAAAAGTCATAGCGCCTTCCAAAAAACAACTGAACATGACTTCAGTCTATTGATTCTCAGGTGGTAAGATACAGTACCAATAATTGGTTGTGTACTGTTGGTATGTTTAGGCTAAATCCAAAAATATACCGCAAAGTGCACTGAGTCAGTGTTTTAACAAAAACACATTTACCTCATTTTAAAAAAAAACAAAAGAACTGCCGATGCTGTAAATCAGGAACAAAAACAAAGTTGCTGGAAAAGCTCAGCAGGTCTGAGGAAGGGTCGCCGGACCCGAAAAGTTAACTCTGATTTTTTCTTCACAGGTGCTGCCAGATCTGCTGAGCTTTTCCAGCAACTTTGTTTTTGTTCTACATTTACCTCATTGCTGTGTAAGGAAGACATAACCACTAAACCTAGTGGGAACAAAATGTGTTACTCATAACATGCACTCCGTTCTGTGTTACTGCATTAATAATATTCAGAGTAGTGTATAAAGAAACAGGGTAAGGTAATACAGTTTGTGTTGTTTAAAACAGCAGACTTAAGTCTTATACTTTTATGTACTGTACTTAAAAGGTTTTGTGACATGAAAAAGAACATTTTCTAAAGCAGTTAGTGTTAAATCCAGATTGACATTGGAAATGCTTAGTAATCGTTTGTGGCTATGTGGCCCAGTTTCAAATTTGTATTTTACAAAATAGTATTTTTTCAATAATGCTGGTGAAAATAACTGAACTGTGCTTATGCTAAAGTGTTGTCAAAAGATCAGATTATTTTCAGCACAGTGGTTTCTCATAAATACTTGTTGAGTTTAATATCATGATAAATATAAACCAGGTGATATGGTGGCACAGTGGTTAGCACTGATGCTTAACAGTGCTAGGGACCTGGGTTCGATTCCAGTCTGGGTGGGATGCTCTTCAGAGAGTCGGTGTGGACTTGATAGGCCGAATGGCCTGCTTCCATACTGTAGCGTTCTGAGATTATAAGAAAGTGTTTAGAAACCACAGTTTGGCAACCTTCGTGCTTTTGGGAATTCGCTTTAAATGATTTAAATTCCTTTTGGTATTACATTTGAAAAACACAGACATGTGATAACCATATTTGATATCTTCTGATATGCACACATTGTTTATAAAGAAAAATAATCCTTCTCCATTAAACCTAAAATTTCCTTCAACCATCTAGAATTAGAAGGCCAGCAGTATGTTTAAGGAGAGGTTTAAATGCAGTGTTAATATTAAAGGTGAACTCTTGAAGTGTACACTGTAAAAGAGTCAACAAGCATAATTTCAAATTTCTATTGCTAAACAAAGAAACAGGATAAAGGCAACTATATTTTACACCTTATCCAGTTTATTTTATCTACTGAAATCAATATAAAATAAAATCAAACAATGTGTAAAATAAGAGAGGCGAATCACTTGCATCCATATCTTACCCTGTGATAAACTTTAAGATTATCTCTAATGTCCCCAATATTTTGTAGAAAGGATACAAGTTCCTATATATAGGTTTAATATGCACATTACTGTGCATATAAAATTGCACTCTGAATAACTACCAAAAATATAGACTACTGCAGATTGAAATGCTGTCTATTCCAAAAAGGCAATGCTCTAATTTTAATATATTTCTCTATTAAGTGCACATTATTAGGTAAATGCTATCTGTGCAATGTACTTGTGGCTCAGTGTTAACTTGTAGTTTCTCAAATTAAAGATTTGTCTAAATCATCAGATGACGGAAAATGATAAACGTGAAACTCCATCAAAGTCTTACACTAATTAGTTTAATTGTGATGTGAAGATCAATGGAGTCCACATTTGTACTATTGTTGAGTAAAATATTTATCATTGCAAAAGCAAAGGGCAGAATCTTTGCTAAGCTTTGTCACAGCACCATCACTTTACTATCAATTACTTTGTTGATGTGAGTGTGATTACAAATGTTACCAATATCAACAGTGTCTGGCAAATTTATTAGCAGTGTTTGCTACAGTCCAATCAACACCATAAAATAATAACATTATTATATCTTCATTTCTGTATTAATACCTTTCAAACATAATTAAGAACAGCACCATTATACTCTTTTGAGTTCAGATTTACTTTGTACAGACTTGACAGCGGCTTATTATGGATCGTAATTCTCCTGCCTTTAGTGTTTGTGGTCTGGGTTTCCTGCAACATAAATATAAAAAATTCTTTTAGGTTCAGCCCGTTAGGTTATTGTAATTATGTTCGGTTAGCAAACAGGATAACTATGACTTTAGTGTAGAGTTTCTGGGTTAGTGGAGACAATATTCTAGTGTTTGCTTGCCATTGAAGGAAAACACCATATACATTACTTGCAGAAGAAATGATCTGAAGTATCCTATCGATATTACAAAATCATGTTTGCTTGAATTAGCTTAATAACACGTGAATATCTTAAACTGAATCTGATTTGGCAATCAAGGTAACTTATTTCTGCAAGCATATTTAGTGCAACATTCACAATGACCAGTCTAAAATAATGAATGTATGTCATTGGCTACAGCAGTCTGGTCATTTTGTGATCTCCTTAGTTTGAAAGTCTTATTATAGAGGGGAAAAGTGCTTTTACAAGAAAGAAAGCACAATACAGCTTCAGCAGAGACACAAATTATCTGTTGTCAAAATAAATCTTGGATCTTCTTTGGAATATCATTGGGCTGTCCAACGGTTGTGAAAGATCCTTTTTATTTCTATATGATGGCTGCAGGTTACACTTTATCGGTTGTTTGATCACTTCTGCTTCAGACATATTACTGTAATTAATTTGTAATGATCAGTGTCATGGTCAAGATTGCTTGTGCCCAAATTTGTAATCGGCATAGTTGATCGTAGCAAGAGCTACACATACAGAATTTTGTGATTACATATGTCAGCAGCATGTAAAATATAAGTGCCAGACTAATGTAATTACCTCTTGAAGTGCCCCTCACTGCTCAGAAGTGGAGCCCACCCCTTCAGACAAAGTAAAAACACTCCCTCTGCCCATGTTGCATGTGCTGGCAGCCATTTTTCATTTTCATTCCACATTTTGTGATTTGGATGAGAATTGAAGACACAAACAGCTCATGCTTCATACGTTGTGTTGGAGGCTTAGCCTGTCTGTCTAGGTGGTCCCTAAACCATCATGTTTCTTTCTGTCCTGTACTCCCTGTAAACCCCATTAGTTTTCAAACAGCCCACAATCCCATGTGGGATGTAGCTCTTCGTCTCTCCACTGAGTCCCTAGCCTAAAACATAGTTGTGCCAAACATCATGATGCACTTTCTCTCTATTAAAACCAGGGTGATAGTGACCATAGACGACCAGCACCTCTCAATACGCTGTGTGTTCCCATGCTCTATTATCTTCCACCCTTACGTATTCAGTTGCTCTTCTTTACAGTTATTGACTCCTCTGCATCACAGTATGCTGTCTCCCATCCTAATACATGACTTCTCCAACTTTCCCGCCACAGCAGAGGCCTTTGATAGCCTTGAATTTCATCGTACAGGTCCTAAGACAAACCATGACCCAAACCCTGACTGACTTGGAAGGGCACCCTGATTGGTCTCTGTGCAGCTCTCGTGCTGACTTACTGCTAATCCCTGGACTGGATGGAAATGATCTGCAGGGCTCACCACGGCCCCATGTTGAAACTGTAATGAGTTGGATCCCCTGACAGTGATCAGTGACTGACTTTTGTTTCCGTACTGGTGCTGTACGTTTGCTGACCATAGTCCCCCGACTGCAATAAGGACTATTCCCCTTAGACTCTCAGAAATGGCCATTTGGTTGAAGCACATTTGGTATATTTGCTGTTTAAGCTGGTGTAGGTGTGACATTGCTGTCATATGTACTGTACAGCCACGTGTGCACCTTGAGTGCTTGTTGCAGATACATGTGACAAGCTGCCTGGTTTTCTAATGCCAGAAAAGACATGCCAAGACAGAATTTGTAAGGCTATAAATTCTGAATGCTGTGCCATGGAGCTGATGAGACCGTTGCTTTGCTGAATATCAACTTCTGCAGACAATTGCTGCACAGGGATCGTGTTCTGTGATATTGGAATGCTGGCCAAGATGGATGCTGAGGTGAGACACATAGCCCTTAGGTAACTGCTCTGACTTTCATGTTGGAGGAAAAAACATAACCTGTATTTAAATGAAGCAAAATTAAGTAATAATGAGATGTCTATATACGCAAATAGGCCCCTCATTGCTCACTGGTGAGATTCTCGTGAAGCTGTTGAAACATTGTGTTCAATCGGATTTTTATCTCAATGTCAAGAATCTGATTTTCCCATTCTTGGCCTGTTCTCTTAACTGTCTTGCCATTGCCTTGGTCATTCAGGGGCTGGAAGAATTCTGCTTAATGTTTTACCATCTTATTAAATTCTGAGCAGAAATGACACAGATTATAGATATCTAGGACATCTGAAAGCTAAAAGATCTGCATGAATATACATTCAAGAGAATGAAAGTAGGGAGGAAGGGGTGTTGTCGAATCAGTGATTGAACTAACCAAATGCTAAAACAATCCTCATGGTTTAGCTCAACCGAGTACTCCTAATACTTTTGGATCAGATGGCATCATTGCTCAGTGGGTTTTTACTGTGGCCACTGGCCATACTGCTTATGATTTGCCACTAAGGTCACTGAGACATATTCTCAATTATTTCCTCAGCAAATTGTGGCATAAAATTATCAGTGGAGGATAGCAGGACAAAGTATTTTAACCTTTAATGTTGTTGTTGCCATATATCCCTTAACAGCAAATATGGTTAATCTCAACTGATGTTCATTTGAGTGTTTTTTTTTGTTTGTTGAACGTGAGCATAGCTAGAGAAGCCAGCATTTGTTGCCCAGCCTTAATTATACTGGAGAAGGAGGGGGTGAACTGTCGTCTTTAACTGTTGCAGTGGGCTTCCTACAGTGATGGCAAAAAGGGAGTTTCAGGATGTTGACTCAATGACAGTGAAGGAACAGTGTCATAGAATCATACAGCTTGGAAACAGACCCTTTGGTTCAACTCTTCTATGTTTCCAACCAAGTTTCCCAAACTGAACCAATCCTATTTGCTTGCGTTTAGTCCATATCCCTCTAAATTTTTCCCATTCATGTACCTGTCCAAATGTCTTTTTAAATTTGTAACTGTACCTGCATCTACCACTTTCTCTGGCAGTTCATTCCACAAACAAACCAACCTTTGTATGAAAAAAGTTGTCCCTCATATTCCTTTTAAATCTTTCTCCTCTCACCCTAAAAATATGGCCTCTAGTTTTGAACTCCTCTACCTAGGGAATAGATGCTATTCATCTTATCTATGCCTTTCATGATTCTATAAACCTCTAAGGTCACCCCTCAATCTCCTATACTCCAGTAAAAAAAAGTCCCAGCCTCTTCTCAAACCCTCCTGGTAATATCCTGGTAAATCTTTTCTGCACTACGTCTAATTTAATAATATCCTTCCTACAGCAGGGCAACTAGAACTGTATGCAGTACTCCAAATGTAGCCTCACTACCGTTCTGTAGAACAACATCATGATGTTCCAACTCCTTTACTCCATGGTCAAAGCAATGAAGGCAAGCATGCCAAACACCTTCTTTACCATCTTGTCTATCTTTGATGCCACTTTTAAGGAACTATGTACCTGCCCTCCAGGTCCCTCCATTCAGCAACACGCCACAGGGACCTACTCTTAACTGGCTAAGTCTTGCCCTTGTTTTTCTTACCAAAATACAATTTCTGACATTTATCTTAATTAAACTCCACCTGCCACTCCTTGACCTATTGGCCCAGTTGATCAAGATCCCATTGTAATCTAGATAACCATCTTCACTACTATACCACCAATTTTGGTGTCATCTGCAAACTTACTAACCATGCTTCCTATATTTTCACCCAAATTGTTTATATAATATGGTTCCAAATTAGGATGGTGCGGGGCTTGGAGGGGATTTTCCAGGTGGGGGTGTTCCCATGCATCTGCCCTTGTCCTTCTAGCTGATTGAGGTTGCAGGTTCAAAACATTGAATGTATTCGAGAGGCGACTAGATATTGCACTTGGGGCGAATGGGATCAAAGGTTATGGGGAGATAGCAGGATTAGGCTATTGAGTTGGATGATCAGCCATGCTTGTGAAGAATGGCGGAGCAGTTTCAAAGGGCTGAATAGCCTCCTCCTACTCCTATCTTCTATGTTTCTATGTAAGGTGTTGTCTAATGTCCATTGGTGAGTTGCAGCACAGCATCATGTAGATGGCACACATTTTAATGCAAAACAAAACCCGAGTATTTTTACAGAAAAGGAAACACGTTAGGACTGAAATTCAACTTCAGGAGGATCGCTGACTTGTGCTTTATAGATGGTGGACAGGCATTAGATAGAAAGGACAGGACCCGGGTCCAATTCCAGCCACAGGCACCTGTCTGTGTGGAGTTTGTACATTCTCCCTGTGTCTGTTTGGGTTTCCTCCAGATGCTCCGGTTTCTTCCCACAGTCCAAAAATGTGTAGGTTAGGTGGACTGGCCGTGCTAAATTTCCCATAGTGTCCAGGGATGTGCAGGTTAGGTGGATTGGCCATGGGAAATGCAGGGTTACAGGAATAGGTTAGGGGAGGTGAGTCTGGGTGGGATGCTCTTCAGAGAGCCAGTGTAGACATATTGGGTTGAATGGCCTGCTTCCAGACTGAAGGGCTTCTATGACTCCGATTCAGAATTCCTAGTTTCGACCTACACTTGTTACCACCGGAATTATATGGCTGGTCTCCTTCAGTTTCTTGTCAATGGTAACCACCAGGTTGTTGATAATGGGTGATTCATGATGGTAATGCCATTGAATGTTAAGGGTGATGTTTAGATTCTCTCTTTTGTTGAAGATTGAAATTGCCTGGCACTTGAATGGCACAAATGTTGCCCAGGTCTTGCTGCGTATGGAAGTTGAGTGCTTCAGTATCTCAGATTTTGCAAATGCTGCCAAAAAATTAAGCAATCATCTGAGGGAACACTTGACAAAGCAGTTGAAGATGCTTGTGCCTAGGACACTTAAATGAGATATTTAACTTTGACAACCACAACCATCTTCTGTGCTGGCTTTGATGTATGTTGCAAACAACAATGCATCACAGTATGTTTAGCTATTTCCAGTTACTCAATTATTTTGAGACA